ATGTATCTGTATGTATCTATATGTATGTATATATCTGTGTATAGCTATATGCGTCTTTATATAACTGTATTTCTATATATATATATGCATATGTAAACAACTATATATAACTCTATATATCTACATATCTAAATACCTATGTATCCAAAGATCTTATCTGTATATGTATATATCTATGTATATATCTATGTATCTATACATGTATATATCTATATATGTGTATATTTATATCTGTGTATCTGTATATGTATATATACACTTGTAAACCTATACATTTTCGTATATATGTGCATATAGGTTTACATATCTGTAAACCTTAATACCCCCCAAAAAAATTAAATATACATACGTATGCATAATTCTGTATATCTAGACATGTATATTTCTATATCTCTCGGTATCTATATCTCTGCATATATACATCTCCGCATCTTTGATCTATCTATATATTTCCCGATAATCTATATACTTGTTCGCTCTTGTATCTGTATATCTGTATATACAAACCTCTATAAGCCTATACATCTTTGTATCAGCACATGGGTACATCTGTATACCGACATATGTACATACCCATGTATCTACATATCTATATACGTATAAGCCTCAATAACTGCAAATGTACATATCTACACACCTGTATATCTAGATGTCGACAGATCTGTATATCTTGTCTACCTATATGTCAACATAACTATGTATCTACTTATCTACATACCTGAATTTATATCGCTTGTACCCATATACCTGTATATCTACACATATTTCTATATCTATATATGTGTATATGTCTATACATATACAAATAGCTTTTAGCTGCATATCTGCATATACATGTACATACACATGTAGATAGCTCTGTTGATTCTTATGTTCCTGTATATACCTAGAAAAATACATACATATGCACATACCTATGTCCATACATACATACTTACATACACTTAAGCGTTCATACATTCATACATCCAGGTTGTACATAGATAGCTATATATATATATACAGGTTTATCTGTTTATGTAATTATGCATATATATATATATATACATGAACACGTATACACATACATACTCATATGCCTATATACGATTGATGGATTCATTGATACATGGGTTCATGGATGGATTGACTGATTGATTGATTGATTGACTCATTCATTCGTTCATTCATTCACTCATTGATTGCTTGGTTGACTGATTGATTGGGTACCGCCAAGTAATCTGGTGCAGAAAGCTCTCGGGTGTTGACCCAACTCGTCTCCACGGTGGGAAGCACATCGTGAGGCCAAGGCGGATTGCCTTCGAGTGCGTTGCACAAAAAGCTGCTGCCGTGGGCCCAGCCCTAGCCCCTCCCGGCGCCTTGGAATCCAGGGCAGCCGCTCTGTCGGGCTTGCTGCGCCTGGCCCCTGCGATGGTGTGATTGCTAACTGGGCCATGTCCAGCCCCCCCGGCACAACGAGGAACCAAACCTTTCAGATACCAACGCAAGAACTGGCAGAGAGACGCATGGGAACCTATGTGGTACTCCTGCGCCACGGAAAGAGGATGTCACTGATGACTAATCGTAGATAATATGATAATATTGATGCAAGACGACCGATGGAAAACTCTCGACATCCGTTTCTCCCCAACTAACCTAATGTAAACAAGGCATAAAGACGCACACTTTCAAGGCTGGGCAAGTCTCCAAAGCGAGTTGGCCGTTTGGCCGACAAGAACGACATTGCCATCGCGTGCGCCCACAAACACAACCCTAAGCCCTACGAAAGAAATTAGAATTATAATCCCTAGACCCTGAACCCAAGAACTCCAAGCCCTACTCCCAGACCCTTGATCAAGAACCCTAAGCCCTAAATTAAAGAGCGCTACGCCTTAACCCCAGGACCCTAAACAATCAATGCAAGAACCTTAAGCCCTAAACCCTAAACTCAAGAGCAGGAACTCTCGGCCCTAAACCCTAAACCCAAGAACTGCAACCCCCAAACCCTAAACCTAATAACCCTAAACCCAACAACCATAATCCCTAAACCCAGAACCCTAAACGTTAATCCCACAGAACCCTAAGCTGCAAACCCAAGAACCCTAAGCGCTGAACCCAACCAAGAAACCTAAGCCCTACTCAGCCCAGAACCCTACAGCCAAGAGGCCTAAGCCCGAAACGCAAGAACCCAACCCCAAGCCCTAAACCCTAAACCCAAGAATCCCTAAGCCCCAAAAACCCCAAGAGCCCTAAACCCAAAAAACCCGAACCCTACTAAGTCCCGAATCCTCGACCAAGAGCCCTAACTTCGTGAGACCTACACCTTGAACCCAAGAACCCTAAATCCTGATTAGAAACCCAAGCCCTGAACCCTGAACCCAAGAAACCTAGGCCCTAAGCCTTAAACCCAATAGCCCTACACCCAAACCGAGAAATCTAAGCCCGAAACTCCGTAAACCCTGAACGCAAGAACCCAAAGCCCTAAACACGACACCCGAGAACCCTAAACCCAAGCACCCTAAGCCTAAACCCAAGAACCCTAAGCCCTAACCAACAAGCCCTACTAAGCCCTGAACACTAAACTATAGAAACACAGGCCCTGAACGCAAGAACCCGACGCCGCAAAGCCAGTAATCCTAAACCCTAAAACCCTAGTATGCTGGGTTCTGGTATACCATACAATATGAACGCATCTATGTGCATGTGTATACGTATATATATATATATATATTTGCGAGTGATGGTTTATGACGCCTATGTTCTGTTATGGTATGCCATACGATATGAGTATGTACCGATATGTTTATATTATATGCTAAGGAGTCATAATTTTCGAATTTATATAAAACATGCTATGAAACCAGACGATACTGCGTTTGACTGACTGATATTGGCCTAGCCAAAGGGGTTATATCATGTTATTCAACCATATACCATACTGTGAGATGCTGCGTGGTGTTATCGAATGTTGTATGATGTGATATGATATGGTATGACATGACATGTCAAGAAATGGTATGATATGATATATGATCTGATGCGATACTTGCACCACGTGAGATTGCATGTGCAGTATCATGTTGCATATGAGAGTAGGTTGTATGTTGATACAGCAAATAACAAACGAATGTACTTATTGCATTGAGCTGCACTATGTTACGCTACAGTATATTGTAGTCTATTGTAGTATTTCATTCTGAATTTTACGCCTGTATACTGAGTATATGATACGATGGTACATTCTAGTATGCGATATAATGCCGTATTCTACTATATTCTCTGGATGCGCACTGTGTTCAATTCGGGAATTACGTTACATCATACAATGGGCTAACGGCTAACGGATCATCCGCAACCCCTTCCTGTCCCACCTGTCCCCTCCCATCCTCGGCACATCCTCCCGTTGTTCAAGCCATTGCGAGTTTCGGGCTTGTGCATGGACACCTCCCTGACCCAGAAACGTGCTTTGGCGTGATGGTCCCTAATGTGTGACGTTTTAGTTCTGGTATCGGGATAGTACTTGATGCCAAGCGCGGGGGTTTCGTGAGAGCTGAGGCGCCGCAGCTTCTGGTTTCGTAGCTTTTGGCGGCTTTTAGGCCAGTCTTAGGCGGGTTCGCGGCTTTTGGCTCTCTCACGGCTTTGATGGCCTTCTCCCGGCTTGGTGGCTTGGCGGTTTCACCCCATAGGTTTGCCCCTACAGGCCCAGGCTATGTCGCACCTGTATGTATGTGTATTGACGGGGGCCCCGCCAAGACTAATCCGCAGCAAGGTGACGCTTCTGTGGCGTCGGCTTCGGAAACATGTACCCAAAACCGTGAGCATCCACGATGCCAAACCATGCAGGCCAGCTTGAAACCTGATTTCTGCCAGTGAGCGCTGAGTGATGCAGAAATATGCATAACACGGCGCAAGATAGATCTACCTGTCCGACAACTCGCGCAAATTCCTCAAGAGCTAACTTTCGTGACCTCTGGTGCAGAGCGGCCCATGTTACAATGGGTGTGGCCCCTTGCGCCCGGTCCCGAAAGCTTCGAGTAGCACGAAAGTAGCGAGCAACATCCGAAGAGGTTTCACCAGTGGGTACGGTTCTGCAGAATGCCTGAAGATACTGCGCAGCGACCCCAGTAGAGAGCTAAAGGCACCCCCCGATGTCGTTTCCAAACTGTGCAGCTTAGGAGGGTATCCCATGCTCTTGCTTCTTCAGCCAAATGATGGAATCAGAATACTCCTGCAGTGGATATGCTCGACGGGCGGGAAAACTCGCGAGCTTGACGAAACAAACATGCCAGTTGTACGTCATAGAGAAAGAATTTGAATCCACGGGATGGCGCAACCATTCCATTTTATAACTGTAGGCCTGAAGCAAGTTGAAGGATGGGATTAGATCGAAGTACGTCCAGACATCCAAAACCGGGTCATGCACTCTACACTTTTCGTCTTTTCCGCACTTCTCTTCGTGCGAAGATTCCACCTGCAAGGGCAAAGCGGGCGAGGACAGGCGAGCTAACCCCGCAAAAGCGTGATCGAAGTTGCTGAATCAATCAGTCGAGTACAAGATGGCTTGCTTCACAGAAGCGAGGGCCCCACGCATTGAAACATCTCAGCGGTCTGCGCACCTGCCGACGACCTTGAAGAGGGCTCTTTCGGAACCCAGCCCATGAGTTCAAGCACTAACAAGACGCCGGACCTGAAAGTGATCGACTGACCCAGGCCACTGGATCCAAAGGATGCAGGAGTGTAGACATGGAGGCTGTCCTGCAAAGTGCGAAGCAAAGATCTAGGACTGCTACGATTTCATTCTTCCTGTAGCGATGGCAAAACCAGAGACGCCCCAACCGAAAGTGAGCATTGCTGGCAACGACTTGCTTCAGAAATCCAGCCTGCATGCCATGCACTCTCACACGTCTCCGGCTGGCCCAAGAAACTGAACGTGCTCATCGTACCTGACCTCATGGTTTCGCCTTGATCGTTTTTGAATTTCTAGACGTCGACTTTATTGTATTTTCTGTGGAACATGGCCCAGGGACCGTGTGCCAGAGGCCCATCTGAGCCTCGCGAAGTCGAGGGCGAGGACAAAGACTTCAAACGCTCGTCGAAGCCCATCGAAGAGCTCTTCATTTTGAAAGCAGCCAAGCCAACGAGCAAGCCTTGGGAAACACCTTCTCCCAAAAACCAGGTTCCAGAAGATGTGTCTCTTGCTTTCAAGGCTGGTGCCGGAGCTGCGCAACGTCAAGAGATACAGGAAAGCTTACACTGTCTTAGATCTTTTCTCAACTGTACGCTCGGGTAAGCAAACATGGACAACTCCTTGACCTAGTCATGCCATTTGGAGCGTCTGGAGCTGGCCGCAGTCCCGTTTAACAACGAAGGCCAACCTCATCTTGGAACTCTCCCTGCCGGCAAAGAGAAACATTTGGAGGATCATAGCTGCCAACTGTCAAACGTTTTCGGCTTGTGATTCGCGACTGATCTCCAGGCTGGAAACTCGGTCACCCCTGCGGTCAACGCATGCCAAGTCGTCTTACAACTGCTGCGGATGAGCTTTCCGCTTGCTCGGGAGTGTGCCCTCACTCTTGAAGCACACGAGACTTCGAAGGGTGCAGGCATGTGCAGGCCAAATACGAGATGCCACGAGTACTTCCCCTAGCATCGTCCTCGTGAATGGGGCAGGCCAAATAAACAACCATGTCCTAAGGCTGCGAGAGACGAGAATGTCTCGAATCAGACTATCTCGGCACGACTGATGCCACTGTCTGAAGCTGGAGCTGGGAAAAAGCTTTGCTGCTCATTGCAACTTATCACCTCCAGTGGCAGGCGTAAAAGATTCTAAACTGCAACTCGGATACGCAGCCTCCGCCATCTTTTGGGCGTAGAGAATGTTCTTGTGTGTACACATATAGAGCTGTTCATTGTACCTGGAGAGGGCTGCAGTATCTTTCACTGCGAGGGCCAGCACCGGCCAAAGGACTTGGGATGGGTACCCCAGCACCGCCAGCGACACTGGGAAAAGAACTATGCCCAGGCACAACGAGCCAAATGCGGCCTGACTTCAATGAGTTGCAGCTGCCAGAACACAGAACATCGCACTGAGGTTCACGCCGACATTTTCCCACCGGCCGTTTCCCGTCCTTCGTAGTCCGGTCCTTGCCGAACAGGTTGCAACTGAAGGCAAGGAGCACCTGCAAAGCTACGACTACGTGCAGGGATAGGCAGCAGGCCGTCCTCCATAGTAGTCTGGGTCATTATCGTACATGGCAGCGCGTCAGCGAGTTCACTTTGGCCCTGGCTGAAAACACTTGAACCATGTCTGCTGGCATCAATAGATGCAGTTGATGCGCGTCAGCCATGCTAGCAAAGCAAGCACGATTTATCGCACAAGATACTTGCCATAACAAGACTGCCTTTTTTTGAAGACATAGCGATGTGCTGGCAGAACTTGCAGGATTGCCAAGATCGCGGGCGCTTACCCAGACATGCACAGCAAAAGCGCTGAAGAAACTTCCTTGGGCAGAAACCAATGTAAACAGTACAGCGAGACACGTTTGACCATACAGCGGCACATCTTGCAAGTTCATCTACGTGGTCTATGCACTGTCCAGCTGCGTAGCACGCACTTCAGCAGGCAGTATGTACAAGCTGCTTGCCCCTGCTGACAGCTCCTTTGGAGTTGGCAAGCAAGCCGTTCCTTTCGAGTCAGTTTTTCATGTTAAGGCTGTTCAGGATGCAATGGTTCTTCAGTACGAAAGAGGGCACGCCTCTCACCAATAAGCAGGTCAAAGCATGGCGAAACTCTAAGAACTACGAGATCCAAGCGCACTGCTTGGACGTGATGAACTCCACCAGCTGGTCCAACTGTATTTGCTTTGCACCTGCTGAAAAGCTCGCGACAGCACATTCAGAACATCTGACTTCTCCATGCGCACTCTAACATCCCACCTAGCAAGGACTCGCAGTACTGGGCACAGCGATGCTCGTCAGTCACTTGTCCACCAAGCATCTCCACCAGAGCCCTGTCAGACTTATCAAGCACAACATGACTGAACTCGGCAATAAAAAACCTGTGAACCCTCTGGTGCCTGACGAAAGTTTGGACCTGCTTCACGCTGCGGCTTTGCAATGCAGATGCGAGGCCACTTCCGTCCAGAGGGAGATCACTCGGAGCTTTCTGAGCTCGACTGACTTCCGTTCTTTCGATCTCTCCTCGAAGCTTAACAATGCCGCTCTGCAGCAGCAGCATTGAGGAAGGCTTCGGTAATTCGATTCTGCGTTGTCGTGGAGCCCATGTGTAGCGACTGAAGAACCCCCCGAGCACGGCGTTCGAATTGTTAAGTATTGATCGCCATGACTTCGAGACAAAGGGCTTGTACTTTTCGACCAGAAGATTTACCAGCGCCTCAAGCGATCCTTCAAAAGGGTTCGCACTGCTGAAGAATCGTTGCCTTGGCAGTTTGACGCGGGCACCCCCGATTTCAAGCGTATGCGAGAAGCTGCTGACTTTGAGCATCGTGCTGATCACACCTGGCAGGCTAGCACTGCTCAGCTTGCACCAGATGCCAATCTTGAAGTCCCCGCATTGAACATCCTGCAGTATGTATTTCCTCGCTGGCTGTGGTTGCTCGTTCAAGGTAGTGTGATACGCATGGCCGGCAATACGAGCAATATCAATCAGGCTGAGTCCTTCGAGCTGCGGCGGGGTCGCCTCACTAAGAAGATCCTTGAGCTCTCCGAGGAGCTCTTCAGATGCATTGCATTCCAAGATGACTTCTTCTGTCGCCTGTGCCTGGGGCTGGGGTTTTCTAACTTGGGATACCGACGTAAACTCAGATGACTTTCTAGGGCAATCAAGGTGCAGGGAAGAACTCCAGGCACACGGAGCGCAGTGCAACATCGGTGCCGCTTAACTTCTCTCGTTCAATCCGCATTCGCCACGGGTGGCCTTGGTCCAAGGATGCAATTACGACCGATGCTCCTTGAGAACTTTTCCGCTTTGATCTTGGATGGTGGTCGATCTGCAAGGCAACGAGCTCTATAACGGAGGTGCGAGTGCCATTCCTTTGGCTGCACCTCAAACTCAAATTCGATAGGTCACATCGCAGCGTCTCTCCATACGAAGACTTGCTGCTCATGATCCCTATTTCAAGAGCTGGAATACGGATGTCGATGTCCAACGTCCACAGCAAAGGAGAAGAAGTTTCGCCACTAAGGGCTCCCAGAACGCTGACAGGAGAAATCGAGATGTGAGCCACTCGGTCAACCACTTCCAGTCGAATGCACACTGGTATAGGCAACTCGGAAGATGGCTCCAAGATTCGGCTCACGGGGCAGTCCAGCCTCAGAGTAAGACACGAGGTCTTCTGGCTTTGGATGTCCACCATGATTAATGTGACGGACCCGTTCAATTGAAAGGGGCGTATACCGGAGGAGCCAAATGCAACTCGAGTGCCATGCACTGCCACGAAATGGGAAGTGCAGTCTGTTGCATCTGCAATGCCTTCGTACGAAAGGTCAACCATCAGGCACGGATGCCGATTCATGAGTTGATGGCAAGCCTGCGACCCCGCGGACGTAATCGTGATAAGCTGTCCGGAGCATTGGCTCACTTGTATGCAGAACAGGTGGTCCTTAAGCCTCGTGTCTGAAAGAACTATAGGGAAGGCCCCGAGCCCATGTTCGGAGACGTCAAACGAGGCAGACCAGACCAGCTCACCACGGCCACTAGCTTGGTCACCACTCTCCCTCGCTCTGCGAAGAGCCACCTGTACGCGTCTAGGGCAATTGGCCTCCGACCAATAGAAGGAAGCTTGTGAAAGCGGCGCTAGCCACAGGATGTTCTGGGCACCTTCCTGCTTGATGCCGAAATCACACTCCAACGTGTTGAAAACGAGCACAGCAGGCATGAGTGTGACCAGGGTAGAGCCCCAGGTAGGGTTTGCTGCATGGCAGCCTGACAAGCTTATCCGCTCGCTCTTCAGGATACAGCGGTGCAAATCTGTCAGGCACAGTTTCACGGACTGGCCAACTCCTACGTTTGGCAATTGGACAGGCCGGCAGCCAGCGGAAGCTGTTACAGAGAAGAACGACTTGTCCTCATCCTCCTCCATGTCATCACCCCAGGCTTCTGCATCCACAACAGCCAGGCTGTTGAACACCGGTAGCGGCTGTCTCCCTCGCACCACGACGGCACCCAGACCGGTAGCATCGTTGAACCAGGAGTTTGCGAACACAGTAGCCTGGCACTGCCCTGTTCGTCGGGCGCACCGCAACCAAAGCCCTTTGCCCAGATCCAAAGGCACAGAGGTCATACTGCCTTCAACAAGTACCGGAGTGACCAAAGACCATGCTGACTTTTTGCCGGTGCTTCTGTCCATCAGCGCGACAGCAAGAAGGAGCGGCGGCAAGTTCGTGTCGTTGCGATGGAGAGCCTGTCGTAGTACGCCACCACTCTGAGCGGCACCAAATTGCTCTGGCAAGTCGTAGATGGGAACCTCATCCCCTGGTGACAGGCGTAAGGGCTGATGCTTTTCCACAGTTCCCCTTCTCGCCCCACAGAAGCGCCACTCTACTCGCCCTCCATTGCGTTTAACTTCCAGCATGTTTGTTCCTTTGGGACAATCCTGCTGCTCCTTGCGGTTCCCAGCCCACCACTGGAAGCTTCGATGGCGCAAGAGCAAAGGCGCGACAAGAACGAAGCCGTTTGGAGGTACTTCCCATATGCCGCCATAGCCGTCATGAATGTGAAGAGTTTCATTCGCTTCGCAAGAATCTGTTGTACGTTGCAGCTGCTGTGGTGCCCAGGAGCCCTCTTGAGTTGACAACCATCGTAACTCGTAGCAGAGATGCACAGGGCAAGCATTGAAAAGACTGAACGGAGCTCTCACATCCACTTGGCACATGCCTTGCATCGACGCGCCTGGTGCTTGGCTGTCCAACGAAAGTCTGAGGCCGTAGACTGGCAAGTTGAAATCTGAGGCCACCGAGCGAGAGTACAGTGCAGGGCAGTCAGCAAACTGATTGGGATGGATCGGGGCCCCCCAGGAAAAGGAAACTCCACCCACCGCAGCCGGAGAGGGCCGCAGCTGGAAGGATGCGTTTGCATTCTTCAACATCTGAGGCGGCAAAGCAAGACAGAAACTGGAAGGCAAGAACAAGGAGCTGGCTTCCGCTTCGGCTTCCTCGGACTCCGAGCTCAGAGCGCTTAGAGTGCTTAGCTCTAAAGGAACCGCTGGCCCACTCGGCTCCAAGAGCTTTGTCGGAATGCAGAAAGCTGGCCACAAGCGCCCAGCCCCGTACCCGCTCCTCTCACAACCGAGCAACCTGACATGAAGATCTAGAAGCGTCCGGTTCACGAGCATGAAGGAAGAAGAAACCACCAGAAGCAGCTGTGGTGGGCAAGTGACCAGCACCCTCACCACCAAGCAACCCATGCTAGTGTGCCAGAGAGTCGTTTCGCCGGCTTTTACCTTCACCTGTTTGGGGGCTCCAACAAGGCCCGGAATTTGCAAATGCAGCGTCTTCAGCTCCTTCGAAGACAACAGATGATCGAGACCTTGCGGTTCAGCAGTCAGCGCTAGAGCCTTTGACTGGTCATCAGAATTCAGAAAGTGGTGCACATCGTTGGTGAAGGAGAGGGGAGTCGCCAGACACTTCAGGCCAGTCAAGTTCAGCCCAAAGACCGTGTCCTCGAACTTCTCTTTCATGCTCTCACTCGCAACTCTCGGCTCACAGCGCTTTCCTTTAAGCTTCGTGGCTGCTTGCACCGCATCATCGTAACTCTGCGCCAGCCTGGAGCAAGCTCGAATCACCGGAACTGTCACCGCGAGCTGAATCGGGGAACAGGGGGCAGCATGGAGCTCCATCTTGGCCTCAGGATGTGTGCCAGAAACAGCACTGGAGAAGTCCACGTTCCATGTGGACTTGCCGAGTATGGGCTCCCATGCTGCAATTCGCTCATTCAAGGCAGCAATGCGAAGCCATAGGCTTTGTAGCAAAATCGATCCGATAGGCTTCTGGCCCTGCGACGACTGCATGTGCACTTGTAGAAGCGGGCATCCCAAAGCAAACTCGACCACCGGCCGGGGCGCCAGCAGCCGCAACTGGATTCCATCGATCTCAATCGAAGCATCAAGACTGATCTTCTGGCGCTGGACCAACGATAGTGGATCTCTTAATCGAATCTCCTCTTCTGGCTCTGACGTGTCTGCCTCCATGGCGAATACGGCATTGAGCATGTCTGACAACTCCAGGACATCTTGG